ATTCATAATGCTAAAAATAAAAATAATTTATAATATATAAATAAATATAAATTTTATTTTATAAACCGATCTGATAAAGTTGAGTTTCATTTAATTAACTCGTCTTAATGTATATTGAAACAAAATCTATATAATAAATGAATTGATATATGATTTTTTACTTTAATTATGAGTTCTAGAGTTTAAAAATATGTAATTTTGCAAAACACTTAAAAGTGTTTTAATTTAGTCAGTTGACGTAAGATTGTTTTAATTTAATTGCTAGTTTTAGATTTCAAATATTAGATTTGTAATTCTACATAGTAAAAACTTTGTTTTTCGTAACGTGAAAGATGATTGTTGACTCTTATACCTTAAAAAAGACAACCGTTACTGGTATTTTAAGAGTTTAATCTTATGCGTAAAATATTAGCATTAAATATGTTTTAACCTCTTATTTTTTAAATGAAAATTGAAATTAGTTTTCTTTTAAAATTTAGACTAATTTAGTCTTCCATGTTTAGAATGGTGTGAATTTAATTCATTTAACCCAATTTTGTTAAGTTTATTTGACTTTTCAGACGCGTTTCTAAGCTGAAATTGGAACTGAAATGTGTCAAAAGGTATAAAGAATTCAAATGTTATCATAAAACATACTTGAAACGTCAAATAAACCTAACAAAATTTGATTTAAAATATTAAATTCACACATTTCAGAGAACTAAATTAGACTAAAGTTTCGAAGAGAAACTAATTTCAATTTTTATTTAAAATTAAGAGACCAAAAACATATTTAACTAAAATATTTACTTTATGACATCTTATTTATTAATATAAAACTACTAAACAAAACATTATAGATATGATAATCATTTAAGCATAGAAAACTAACATATAACTGCTATATTACAGTCATCAAGTATATACTGAGTACATATTGTCATATAACTATGCTAACATAAACTAGAGTTTTTCAAAACAATAATTACAACTGATCATCAACTTAATCTAAGTCGTTGCATCATTCACATCTTGGATTGGATCAACTATCATATTTTCATCTCCTCACACCATTAAAGTAATCATTACAAACAAAGAATAAACACAAACAAAAAAAAGGTAAGATACGATGCAAAAAGAATATTCAAACAACATGCATATAATTATCATCTCACACCATTTATTCAAGAAAATATTATGAAGACTCATATAAGACTCAATTATTTAGATACGTGTATTGATATCAAACTTTGGTGAGTTATGCACTTGTGGTGGTGGAAACTTATCCACCCAAGCTATCATACATAAGGTTAGTCTCTCAACCATTTTTGGCTAAGGTAAGCTCCTAGACTAGGACCTCTTGCACCTCTCACCATATACCCCACCCTTCTCTACATGAGATTGGATGGTTATTAGAGCGATAAAAATAACTCTCAATATTGAATCTTTATATCAATACAAACACTAGTGGAACACCACCATAGAATCTTCCCACGAGATTCATGGAATTATGCCAAACATCATTACAATATCATACATAAATAGACACAATAATACTTTTAAACCTACATAAAGAACATTAAAAATTTATCTCAAACAATCATGGAATAATAAATTTCAAACATGTGCACTGGCCCGCATAAGTGGCCCCCAACACTAGACTTTTCGTAGAACGTGGCACTTAGCGATAGTCCCAGCATTCAACGCCAAGCCTTTCACAAAAGGTGGTGCTTAACAATAATCTTGATGCTTAGTGTCATTCATCTCACAAAAAGTCATGCTCAATGACACCCTTCTATCACTCAACGTCCTAAAACTAAAATGTTATAGACTTGTAGAGAAAGATAGCGCTCAACGGTGCCCTGCTACCGCTCAACACAAAAGCATTAACAATTTTAATGCGCTCAGTGGTACAAAATTGACGCTTAACAGTCTAGAACTAAAATGCTTCCAAACCTGCACAATGAACTGGCGCTCAATGCTAGGCTGTCACTACTCATTATATCAAATATTAGCCGATGAATTTTTGTGATTTAGGGAAAAAGGAACTTGTTTAAATGATCAAATTGGTATTTCCTTCTTAGTATGTTGGTAGAAAACAAATTTTAATATTAGGGATATACCAACTGATGACTTGGTCCCAAGCCCATCATTTAGGCAAAGACCCATTTACTTGAAGAAATAACAAAGAGCAACTTTAGGAGCATCCAACAAAGTCCATCACGGACCAAAACATCATGAGATGAAGGGTAGAAAGCTTGAAGAAAAGGAATCGGGTGGCGCTGAGCGCTCACCCTACACTGCCCGGCGCTAGCGGCTTTCATCCACTTCAATCAGCACGTGGTTCATGTGATCCATCACCTGCTTTGCATTTTCCACGTGGCCAATATTGCTTAAAACACATCTGATTAGTGGCCTTGCATTTCTTCTAGAGCAAGGCGGTGAATCTCCTATAAATTCACCCAACCCTCTTTGTAAATCTCACTTTTGAATGATATGAGTAAGTCTTTGCTGCCTTGAAGCCAGCTCCCTTACGCTGCCCAAAAGTCACCTTCCTTGAGCTTCCCCTTTCTCTCCTCTAGCTTCCTTCCAGGGATGGAAGGTCGTCTAAGCTAGCTTCGCCTCCACTGATAGCTCCTTCCTCCACCAACAACCTTCACTTAATTCATTACTTCCGCTGCCAAAGGAAATCCAGTGCGCAACATCATCTCTACGCACGGTCCAAACCACCATTCTGTTGCTTCATTATCACCCATAGCTAAAACATAACTCATCATCAACTGGCTCAAACGATCAAATCCTAAGTTCTTAATTCAGCACAAGTTCAGCCAAGACAAACAACATGACAAACATCCAAAACAAACCAATTTCAATAGATTAAACATCATCATACAACTCAATCATGCAAATAAAAATTTCAAGATATCCACAACTTAAAAATAATGCAATCAGCTTCCCTTACCTAAAAGATAATCAAACAACTTTAGAACCCCCAAAACACCTTTAGACAAACATGAAGCTCAATCTACCCTATGAGCAACACAAACAATGAGAGCATACCATTAGGATCACTGATCAACAGAGACTAGTAGAGAAAGAATAAACTGACAAAGAAAAGGACAAAAAACTAAATTACTCTATTGAAAAAATTGATTGGACAGAAGTGGAGAACTCACCTTAATGATCATCCTAGCGGTCTCCGATCTTCAAACGGATAAATAAACAATGAGAAAATCTAGAGAGAAGAAAGAAAGTTCTAGAAAAAAAAGTGTTTAGAAAGATGATGTGATTTTAAGATAATGAAAATCGTTATAAGAATTTTATTTATACTTTAGATTTTTATTATTAAAATAATTAGATCTTATTATTTTAAATACTCTATCATTCTAAAAACCGATTTTTTAGGTCTCTACTACTTCTATATAATAAAATTTTAAGTTGAATTAAAATATATTTGGATATACAAATGACATCATAATTAAGATTTATAGTGATAAATATATTTGAAATTGTAAATTATATTTTAGATTTAAAATTAATATCTAAAAGTTTACCATTAATGGAAAGTGTGAATTATCTTCTTCCAATAGTGGGTAGAACAATATATTCAATAAATAATAAATATCCCAATAAAAAGTGATACAATAGACTAAACAAAAAAGAAATTTCGTTAAAATAGATTCTAATAGATAACTCTAATATAAATCAATTTCACAAATAAAATGAATTTTACATCCATTTTATATGCTCTAAATGACTAATTAAATTTACATGTTAAACACATGTTTAGAAAAACAATTTGCCATATAGAAACAAACGACTAAAATTACCTGTTGGGCCATTTTCAACATCAAACATGGCATCTTTGACTGATTTGCAATTCTATACTGTCCTTTTTTTTCATCCAATCAAGCCTGTGCATTAAACAACAAAAGAATTACACATTAAACAAACAATGTATTCATGTTCTATTCCACTTTTGGATTCTTAAATTTAATTCTAGTTTAAACGAAATCAGATTTGAAAACTTTTCTTTCGGTCAAAACCAATTCTATATATGAGAATTACTTCATAAAAAACGATGCTATACAATTTGATTTATTTGACAGAAATATTATTTTTATTAATTTTCTGATAGAATATATATATTCTTTTTAAAAATAAAAGAAATAATATTTGTATGTAAAAAAAATTATGTTATTGAAATATTATTTTTATTAATTTTCTGATAGAATTCTAAAAAAATATTACTTTTTTTATAAATAATTTTCTTGCACAAAAGTACAATTTTTAAATGGTTTTACTTAATTATTCAAAAAAAAATATTTTTTTTGAAATATATTTATCAAAAATATAAACATGAATTATTTTCACCAACCATTTTTATTCATTTATTCAATTTGATATCATGTTAGGAAAAGATGGGAATAATCAAAACATATTCTTACAAATTCAATTTATACCATGACATTTGTTTCCGTTTATGTATTGTAATTTAGTGTTATTTAGAATCTGATAATGAATCATTATATTACCAGTAAATGTTTTTAAAATATTTTATAATATCTTAAAGGATAATACATTAATGAACTTAGATCTCAGACAATTTCTTATGAATTATTACAAAATCAACCATACTACTAAATAATGCTAACTTCTCCAAGATGTATCTTCATCTCCAAGATATATCAAGCTCTATAGCACTAACTTTTTCATCAAATAAATTATGGACCTTCTGCTCATTAATGTCATCATATAATTCTTGTTCAGTGAAAGTGCTTGTTTCTTTCTATCATAAAAACCTTATCACACTTTGTCAACAACTCACTCAACCAAGGCTCATTGAGACATGTCATGAAGTTGGTGACTTCATGATACCTAACGCACCTAAAAAAGCACTTTTCTATGTCAAACTTGCAAAACTCCCAGATTAATTATCTGCTTACTTTTTTTGACACATGAAACAAAACGAAAATTTTACAAGAAAACTTTAAAAGAGAAGCCTTTAAACTAACACCAAAGATTTCATATGATGTCATACTTATCCCCCTTATTTATATCCACTCTCAACCAATCCCTTCTCGTATAACTGCTTCTCCCCAACCTCATTTTCTATAAAACAAACACACCACTAGAAACCACAATGGCAACCATGTCTCCCATGTTGTTCATTTTTCTAGAGATAACTTGTTTCTTTGTGGCTCATGCTTATGTGGAGAACATGTCTCTAAGGACTCTTTCTGGTGTCACTCATGAAGAAGCACTCCTTGGACTTAAGGCATTCAAGGCCTCTATAACTAGGCGTGACTCCATTACTTCAACACCACCTTCATACTCTCCTACTCCTTCTCCTCTTCCACCACAGGTAATTCAGTCATCAATAGATACCCTTTTGTTTCCTTTCTAAGAAAGTGTCGAAATTTGAAACCCCTTGATGAAGGTACTCATGAACTTGGTCATGCTTTTTCTGTGGGAAAATATCAAATGTTTGATGGACTTCTTTTTCGGTTGATGAAGGATCTCAAGAAACCACATGTGTACCTTGTTACATCTTATGGTGCAGATCCGACAGGAAATTCAGACAGCACTGAAGCTCTTCTTGCAGCCATAGAAGATGCAGCCAAAGGCCCAAATGAAGGGTTCTTAATGCAGGACATCAAAGATCTTGGAGGTGCTCAGGTTCATCTTGAGGGTGGAAAGTACCTCATTAGCAAACCACTGCAATTGCCACAGCCAGGGATTGGAAACTTCATGGTAAGAAAAGCATAATTTTCATGAAACGTTCAACGGTAAATGGTCTTACATATAAGTTGAAATGGTTTTAATTTTGCCAAATTTACTCGTAAGATAGAATCTATTATAACAAAACTTGTTATTTGATCGATCAATTCTTCTACCTATTGAACCGTCGATTAATATCTAGTCATATATCGATACAAACTATTGTGATTTTGTGAGTTAGACTTAAAATTTATTTTTTAAAGATTTAAATTACAAACTAAAAGGTTATCATATTAAAAGACGTATTAGTAATGATATTTGATCTTTAATTCCTTAATAATATCAAATGGTCTATTGGCACATTAAACTAGAACATAAAAAAATAGCAACTTTTGGAAGCTTGGCTTTGGCCAAACTTGAAATAGAAAAATGGTTTTAGGAATGGCTATCCATTTAATATTCAAAAGGAATATAGTCCTTTATCAACCTCTTCTTCTTTTCAGTCAATATTTTATTTTGTTCTTTTCTTAGACTTTTCATATTTCACCAATTCTTAGACACAGTGCTGCAGCAAATCAAGGCATAACTGAAGTTTTGGTCTTAGTTTGATAAAATTTTATCATTGAATGTTATAACAGATACATGGGGGAACTATAAGGGCCTCAAATAATTTTCCATCAGATGGATATCTCATAGACTTGTCCACCACAGGAGAAAGAAATTCCTACAATTACGAGTACATAACTCTAAAGGATCTCTTGCTGGATTCCAACTTCAGAGGAGGGGGCATTTCAGTGAAAAACTCACTTAGAATCAACATAGACAATTGTTACATAGCACATTTCACCAACACTGGAATCTTAGTCCAAGGTGGTCATGAAACCTTCATCAGAAACTGCTTCCTTGGCCAGCACATCACTGCTGGAGGGGACAAACATGAAAGGAACTTCTCAGGCACTGGAATAAGCCTTCAGGGAAATGACAATGCAATAACAGATGTTGTGATTTTCTCTGCTGCCATAGGAATAATGGTCACTGGTCAAGCCAACACCATTTCTGGAGTGCATTGCTATAACAAGGCCTCTGGTTTTGGAGGCACTGGAATTTATTTGAAACTTCCTGGTTTGACACAAACTAGGATAGTGAATTCTTACATGGATTACACCAATATTGTTGCAGAAGACCCCGTTCAACTTCATATCTCTAGCAGTTTCTTCCTTGGTGATGCTAACATTGTGTTAAAATCAGTAAAAGGGATTGTGAATGGTCTGAACATTGTTGATAACATGTTCTCTGGCTTAAATCATGGGGTTGATGTGGTCAAGTTGGACCAATCAAACGGTCCCTTTAATCAAATTGATCAAGTTTTTGTGGCTAGGAATGTTGTGAAGGGTATGAACTTAAAGGCCACAGTTGCAAAGATGACTATGCAAGGGAATGGAACCTCATGGACTGCTGATTTTAGCAAACTTTTGCTTTTTCCTAACCTTATCAAGCATGTTGTGTATACTTTGATCGTTAATGGCAGCACCTTCCCAAATCATGCTCTCAGAAATGCGTCTCATAATCGGGTTGTGATTGAAGCAAATGAGGCCGTGACTGCAAATGTTTTTGTCGCTGTGGATCAAAGTATTGCAAGTTAGAGATGTTCTGATTGAAGAGGGAATTGTGCATACGCGTGATTACGAATTCACGAATTCTTTCTTTCTTTCGGCAACATTAAAGGCAACTTTGTAACCATACTACAAATTTTGAGACCGTATGTTTCAAATTTGTTGAATACATTTAAATGTAAATAAAGGAACGATGGTTATAGGTTAATTAAAATGAGATGATATTTTAACAATTTTTTTATTATACACGTGTCATTATTTTATTGATCCGTATATTTAAAATAGATTAATCATGTTGTATTAAAAAAGTTGTCAAAAAAATATTAAAAAAATATTTTCTTAATTAAAAATAATACCAATTTATTATAATAAAAAACACACACATATTGTAAGGACCGAGTGTCCTTTTTAATTTTATAAAAGAAGAAGTGGTGGGGGAAGGGAGGCACGTTCCTGGAAGTGGAAGTGGGCGGCTGCACTTGGAGAAAGTGGAGGGGCTCCCTGTCTGCAGAGTGGTGCAGCTGGTGGATGGTGGGTCTTCCCACTTTGAAGTGCTCCAACCACCATGAGACCACCATCCTCACTTTCATAATGGGCACAACACTAAGAAGTGGAAGGGAACGACTGAGGTTCGTTCAGCAGTGGAGTGCACATTTTCTTCCTCTTAAAGGGAGGGTTTCGTGAATTCAGGGGAATTTTTGGGAGTTGGGCAGAGTGGGAGAGTTGCTGAAAAATCTAGAAGAAGAAAAGGAGAGCTGGCACTGTAGTGGAGGACTGGAACGGCAGAGGAGGAACACAGTGCAGAGATTGATTCAAGAAGAGTGTTGGTGCTGTAATTGGAGGAGTGAAAAGCTTACTGCAAGATCTGGGAGAGGAGAAATAGAGAGCTTTCGGAATTGGAAGGAGATCCGCACACTGCATTTCAAGATTCAAGGAAGTCTTCAAGAGGTAAGGGGGGATTTTCTGTGTGATGGTAGTTGTTGCATGATGTAGATGCTGGAAATTTGAGATTTTGTGTATGGTTGGACTGAAAATGATATATTGATTCATGTATGTAATCTTGTATGTTTTGGAATTGAAGGAAATTAGGATTTTATAGCTTTTTAGTTATTTGGAGAGGAAGTGAGGTAGTGATTTTGAGTATTTGGGGTCTAGAGTGTTATTGAACATTTGGAACAGTTTCACCCACTGTATTATGACTTGTTTGAGTCACTAAATTGATCAAAATAGGTGCAAAGTAGTGGAATTGGATTTTGAGTATCAAAGTTATGAAAATTGGTGTTTTATGGTTAAATTGGAGTATGAATCCCTTAAGAATTGAATAAGGAACGGTTATAATCAATTAGGTATGTTCAATCAAGTATAAAACAAGAATTAAGGGTGTTAAAAGTTGATAAAAAGGGTTGAAAATGGTAAAACGAGGTTCTGGCCTCAATCTGCAGAATTCTGCATTCTGCAGAATTCACGCCCGGCGCCTCTGTCGCGCCAGGCGCCCGGCGCAAGTGGCCTGATGTTGTGAGCGAGCGTTCGTCCCACTGTGCGCTTCCGCGTTCGTCAGCGTTCGTTTAGATTACGAGCGTTCGTCCAGACTGCTCAGCAGTGAGCGTTCGTCCAGACTGTTCGGCAGTGAGCGTTCGTCCAATTGTTTAAATGACGTTCGTCCATGTAATGTTATTCCTAGTATTCGGAAATGACGTTCGTCCCAATAGTGTTGAATCGATTTTAGCGTTCGGCCTGTTGAATCTTATAGTGTTCGTCCAATTAGCAAAGTAGCGTTCGGTAATTGTGTTCAAGTGGTTTAAGCGTTCGGCCTTTATAAGATATTATAAGTTTGGAATCTTGAGCGTTCGGTCCTAATTGGATAAATCTTAAGTTCGAAATCTCTGAACGTTCGGTCTTATAAGCGACTTATGACGTTCGTCCAAAGGGTGTTAGCGTTCGTTCAGATAGCGTTCGTCCAAATGGTTTAGATGATGTTCGTCCAAAGGGTGTTAGCGTTCGTTCAGATAGCGTTCGTCCAAATGGTTTAGATGACGTCCGTCCAAAAGAATTGTGGTGACGTTCGGCCAAATAGTGTTCGGCCTAGTGTTTAAAAAGGGCGCTCGTCCGGTAACGTTCGTTCCACAAAATAGTGTTCGGATGAATAGTGTTCGGATGAATAGTGTTTGAATGAATAGTGTTCGGATGAATAGTGTTTGGATGAATAGTGTTTGAATGAATAGTGTTCGGATGAATAGTGTTTGGATGAATAGTGTTTGAATGAATAGTGTTCGGATGAATAGTATTCGGATGAATAGTGTTTGGATGAATAGTATTGGGTTCAAAGTTGATTTTCTCTAGAATTGAATTATGTGTGTTTACTTTGCATAGTGTTGGGGAGTGCCAGCAGACTATGCGAGTGTAAAGAGGAATCGTGTGTGTTTACTTTGCATAGTGTTGGGGAGTGCCAGCAGACTATGCGAGTGT